AAACTGATATCCATCAGAAACACTGCTACTCAAGCAACTTTCAAGAAACTTTTTTTTCAGGTTACTTGGGCTACCTGTGAAAATGCGCGCGTGAGTCTACTGCAAAATATTTTGCTCAAAAAAGCAGTGCTTTTCAGAAATACAAAAGGTTATTTTTTAATGTTTAAGTTTAAATCTTGATTAATAGCTCCATGTATAATAAAAGCTTTTATTATCCATGATAGTTCTCATTTGAATTTGATTAATWAGTTAATGAGCGCACGCGCGTTTTTTGAAAATGATGACGGAAAGCGACGAATGAAGCCGTTAACATATCGATGAACGAACATTTCTCAAAAGATGACTTTGTAGTCATTTTGTTGATAATTCGAARATTCTAAGTAATGCAACACCTAGCAACTATTAATACTGGAAAAAAATGATGTTTCAAAGCCACATTGGACAAGCAGAAGGCCCTTTTAACCACGTGAGAATTGAAACTCGTCCATGTTCTGTTTGAATAGCATTCTTTTGACTCAAAATTGTTGAATTTTTCAGTTTTATAACAATCCTGTACAGCCTTCTTTTCCTCAAAACAACCCTCCACTTCATGGAAGACATACACCGGTAGGTTTTTGATAGCGAACTCTCCTGGTGAAAAAGCCTTGAGAGGGCGTTACGGAGCTCTTATCGGAAACGCTTACTTTTTTTCCCAACCCTTATCTCATTGCTTTGTTACCCTGATCACCTTCATGTTTTTTTGGTATCATTGATTTAATATGTTGTTGATTTGTTATCTTATTTTGTCTTACAGCTGGTTACATTCCCTAAGAATTATTCTCAATTTCTCCCTTTCATTTTTAAAATCTTAGACTTTGATAATCAAATCCTCGAACTCTTTTACATTGCAGCATATGCCTCAGCAGCCGAATAACATAATACGACCTCCACCACCAGGTCCACCAGCTGGCCCACCCCCGATGATACCAACATGGAATGGYGGATTTAATGTTTTTCCACCATCTCAGCAACCACAGTACAATCCATTGCCGAATATGCATCCAAATCACCCAGGACCCCCACCAAACSTTATAAACCCTCCACCGAACAGACACCAATTTAATCCTCAGCCCACYCCCGTTGGGAATCCTTTCCAGCAGCAACCTTTATATGGACACCATCCAACATCRCAGTTTATCATGCCAATGCATCAATTTCAGGGGGGTGCTGAAGTGTTTCATCAAGGCTACGTCATGGCAGGAGGTCCCTTCAGTGCACATCAAAACGAARTGTTTTACCAACATCCAATGACAGAGCAGAGGCAAATGCCGAACTTTATGGGTCCACTACCATTCAGCCATCGTCCTCCAATGCACGTACAGCAAGGGTTTTGTCCTTTGCCTACCAAACAAGATGGTTTGTCGTCAAGTTTTGTGGATGTTTGTGGACAGTATGGCATCGAGATTCCAGTATGTCGAAAATCTTACTGCGAACAGATTAGGGARTTCAAACCTGTTTTYCCGGATGAAGATGACTTTAATTTGAATCATATAGCATTCAAACCTGSGCAGTCTTCTCATGTCAAYCAACCCTAYGTCACACATGTAACGAGAGAGTTTTATACCCACAGCACATCAAGAACGAATACTCCTTCAGACTGCATYCTAGAGCAAAATACCTGTTTCAATTTTGATGAAAGCAGCGAAGAACTGGCCGGGATATTTGGCAACAAACCAAGCAACGAGCATGTGAAYAGCAGGGCATCATCAAAGATTTCATCAACAGGAACAAAATCATCTGAATGCATATACCATAGTGAAGATGAAAATTATGATGTCACAACTACAGGCCATGTAGTTATGGATAATGTCCCAACTATGAACCACGCCAATAATGTTCCAATAGTGGGCCACGAATCTGGTATAGATGATGTTCCAACTATGGACCGTGATCAAGCGAGTGGAAATTTCCAGTCTAATGGACATCCAATAAATAGTGATAATATCCAAACCAGGGGCCATCAAGCAACTATGGATGGGGTGCCAACTATGGGCCAATGTTCCAAAACTATGGATAATGCCCTAAATATGGGCCATCCAACAACTAAGGATGTCCCAACCAGGGGTCATTCTGCAACTAAGGACAATGTCCCAATCACAAGCCATTCCAAAACTATGAATAACACTCCAACTATGGGACATTCCACAACTATGGACGTCCCAGCAAAGGATCATTCTGCAACTATGGATAATGTCCCAACTATGTACATTGACACATCACAAGCCAATGAAATGGAGAGAGATGGCTTCCAAGGCAACTGTTCTAATGGTAAACAATCACCTCAAACACCCCCAAGACCTCCCCCTGGATTTGCCCTTATTCAAACCACTGACCTTCCTCCAGAGGACCAGCTGCATAAAGTTGGACACTACATCAAAGGACTCCTTAAAATGGAYGGTAAGGGGGGGAATGGATCAAGGACTAGCCCACATGAAGGYAAYACTATCAGRTCRTTRATYCAAGAGCCTATCTATAGTAACTGCGAGAGCAGATTGAAGATACAGGAGCCTGAGATAAAGCCTGATAAGACAAKAAAAAGCGAACAAACAGCTGTATTGAATAGTGCTAATACAGGACAAACACGATATATACAGAAAATCACATCACATTTTAGAATTCTATTTGAGCCAATTCCTGATATGTTTGATGAAGATGTAATTCTGTAAACCAATAATCTAATAAACTTGCATTTTAACAATAATGATATTATGATAAACTAATTGTAAAATAAAAGAGAAATGTTGTAATAATTTTATTGCATATTTGTCTTTTAAGAAAAAAAATAATCACACCGCAATTTTTTTCAAATATAAGACTCTTAAAATAGTTTACATTACAGATCATGTAACCCAGAGTCAGTAATCGTTATAACACAGAATAATGTACATATTATYATGTTTGATCCTATTGTCTGTCAGTGGGTAGGGAAACRACTTATGGCCAGTYCCATTGCCCTTCAGGTGGTGCAGTCTGCAATGGTTCCCAGGCTTTCCATACCAACATTTTCTTAGCTAGTGCTAATTCATCCTCAGCCTAAAAAGAAAAAAGAAAAAAGAATAAGGAATTTACTTTTTGACTCAAGCAAAAATGAAAACTGAAAACTGATGAATTACATCTTTGTTAYTGCTGATGAAAGAAGATAACTCCAAGACTTAATAAGGCTCGAACTTCAAGGACTTACAATGCTTCTTCCCTACTGCTCTCACATTAACTCTCTCACACAGACCATGCCCACACATGAACATATCCCAAAATTTATAACATTTGGACACAGGAAGCCCAAATTTTCTATGTGACCAATCAAATCTTTCAAAAKCTGCAAGTTTTGCCTCAGTAGTCACTCACAAAGCAATCAAGATAAGGCATTGTGAATAAAGACAATAGTTTTTTACTACTGACTGAGCTTTATGCATGGCAAGGTATCATCGTGATTCTGTTGTGTGTCACTTTTGAGGTGAAATTCCAAAAATCGGCTAYGTCAATTAAAGTTAGAATAGTTACTAGTGTATAATAATACCTGTTTAATAACCTCTTCTACTTGTCCTGCTCCTATTTTCTTCTCAAGAGCATCAATATCACTTTCCTGAAAATTGAGAGAAAATAAAGGTCTTGTCTTGAGGAAAAATTTACATTGTTGAAACAAATAGACAATTCTTTGTTTTCAAGTTACATCAAAGTGGCCATCTTGGAGGAACTTTAACAAAGGATTTCTCATTAGTATCTATTGTTTGTTCCTCCAACATGGCCACCRGTCTTTTATATTTTGAATCTCACGAGAATGGTTGAAAAGGATCAATACAGTACAATTACAAAACGAAAATTGACATAATTTCAGTTACTCAGAATGGGACTGGGTTGAACAGAAAATAATACAGTTCTACCTGCCACCCACCTCTTTTACTAAAGTCAGTCTCTGGTTTGTTATTTGTTCTGTGTGTTTTCTGTAAGATGCATCTTGAGGCATTTCTTGTAGAACTCCAAGAGTTTTGTTATATAGTTGAATCAAAGACTATGAAGAAAGTTTAGTTAATAGAAACTAAGTGATATACAAAAAAATGTGCAATACATTATAAAAAGGATTATTAATTTAGAATAAACAAAATTATCATTATCAAGCACAGATATAAGACCTTCTGATATTTATTGTACCTCTCTAGGGGCCTTTGAGACTGCTAAACCTACAAGACCAGTGGACTATGAAGGCAACAAACATGATTTATTAGAAACATTTATAAGTTCAAAATTATTACTTTCAGATAGTAAATGGTGTAGAAAGTGCGAATTACGCTTGCATTTTGACAAATAAATGTTAAGACCAAAGCATCGGGTCTATTCGTAGCCGCATATGAAAATTAAGTTACATAAGCAGCTCAAAATCTTGTGCTAAATTCACTAAAACCAAGCTTTTGCATTTCATCAAAACTAAATAGACCTAACTATATCATTGAATTCAAAAATTCACAAATATAGTCACTAGAGAAGCTAATAAAAGGTCCAATGTTTGACTTACTTTCTTCAAGTAGGACGCCATCTTGGAAAACCCCTGAAGCAATGCGTCATGGGAAATATATGAGGAAACGATTTGTTATTGAGATTTTAAAATAAAGGAGCTTTCTTTCTCTTCTAATCAAAAAGAGACAACAGATGTGTATGATTATTGATACATAGTTATCGTAACTATTCTTTCCTATTTTTTTGTATTTTATTATTATTATTWTTTATKTTTTAAGAAATCCCACAAAGCATTGCGCGCCGGATACCGGCGACTGATGTAATGTTGTTTCGTCCATGTGCAAGAAAAGTAASCCGGTCTGTGTTTAAAAAATCCTCTTTRTTAGCGAATCGTGTACGATCAGCAGTATTGTATTCACAGTCTTCTTCATTTCTTGCTGATAAAGTCAAGGAAAACCWAAATATGGCGTCGTGTGCGCCAGAGCAACATARTTTCCCAAAAGAAGAAGAGAAAATTTTGGAACTTTGGAAAAAGATAGATGCATTCAAGACMTCACTRAAGCAATCYGARGGTCGACCAAGGTTAGATTAAACGTAAAATATATGTATAATGTACTAATTTTATATGGGATATGTTTCTTTAGACGTTGTTATTTAATCAGGATTATTTATGATTTTGAATAAACTTACTCTAAATTTCATTCAAGATGCAAATAGCTACAATTAGGCTTATAATGCAAATGTTTAATCGTAATAGCAAGAATAACCGATATTCCTGATCAAATAATTATGTGATTAAATAATTCAAACTACATTTTTGTGAAGTATCTAAGTTATTATGAAAGGTGATCATTTCATTTTCACTTTCACTTTTGTAACACAGCTTATAAAGAAGGAAGTAGCAAACCCTATGACCACCCTCAGTGACTATGTAACTCCCCGGGGGGGTACTCCCATATATTTGCTRTACGGGGACGTGCCGCTGGCCAGGGTATGGTTTTTGGCCTTGCTGTCTTAAACAGGGTATACATTTCACCCRAAATTGTCTTAAACAGGCTCTACAATTTAGATAAAAGAGACCGATATAATTTTTTGTGTGTCTTGGACAGGGTAATATTTTCATAACACCGTAGAAATAGTAGAAATACCGTTTCACTGTCCCAGAATTAACGTGTTATCAAAAACTTCTTATCGTCTTTGATGGATGTCAGTATATTTGTACCCCGGGTGTACCTCACTCTCTTGTAGTCAGTGAAACAGAGCTTCAGGTCTCAGAGGAGTTCAGTCAGTGTTGACAACCACTTAATCAAATGGGCAAAAGCTAGTAAATAAATATAGCACAGATCAACCATGCAAAATTAGTTCATGAGTTCAACATAAATGTAAATGAACAAAAATTTTCTCTTCCTTCCTCTTCCTCTCAATGATGGGCTTCCTGTGTTAGTTCTGGGAGATCAGGACTCTCACTTTCAGGGAGACTGAAATTGATTAAAAATATACATGAGGAGGAGGCTAAATTGTCTTAATTATTTTTTCAGATATTCCTTTTATGATGGGCCTCCATTTGCTACAGGCATGCCTCATTATGGCCATATTTTGGCTGGAACTATCAAGGTTAGTAAACTATCCTCTTTGTCTAATCTGT